ATATAAGGCACACATGGAATGTTTAGCGACTGGTAAGCCACCTATGCACATTTCGTCCGCTGCTCCTGGTGGTCGGTGTAGGTGTGCTTGACGCAAACTTTGTAATACATCGATGCGTACAAAAGTGCAGAACTCGCAGAAACTAGACTATAAAATCCACATATACTCCAACCATACATTTAACCTTGATCCTGTTTCCACCCCATCACACGCATCGCACATTAATCCAGTTATTAGAGTTGTCCAAACAGTCTAGGATGTAATAGGGCAAAAAAAAAAGAAAACGTTCATGTCCTGTCTCTAGCAAGCACCCTGCTTCCACATCTTGACTGACTTCACCGTCATACCACGCTGATCACCCTCTCCCCAAGTCGGCAGCCACTGGTCGGCAGCCGACCAGAACGTCCACTGAGCGTTGGTGGCCGAGTCAAGCCAAGGCTTGTTTCCCTTGTTGTCACTGTTCCATCGTCCATCTTGTCAGCAACTTTTTCTTCTTCACGTTTACCAAATTGACTTGAAAGAAAAGGGCCAACTTACGGAAACCACCCTATCTTACTCCCCACCGCCACATTCAAAATCAAGTAAAACGGCTGATCAAAAGGCGCGTTTCCCGTCGTGGAATCACTCCCCGCCCACGGATTTTCAAAGAGGGTATCGTTCTCCCTCATCTCCGCAAACTCACCCATTTTCCAGAGGTCGTCCTTGGCTTTGAACCCGACATGCATGATCTGCGTAAGCCGGTTGTCCAGGTAAAAGTACATGTACTTCGCGTCCCACTCAAGGCCGAACGTGTGGAAGCTCTCGGAGAAATCGCTGCGCTTGAGACGCTTGGCCGATGTGGTCCGCCAGTAGGCATCTGTCGCGCTTGAAGGACCCCAGTGAAGGGAGCCGTAGTATAGGTTCCGTCCGCCGGGTGCGTAGTCGTGCCCATTGCCGCGGGATTCCATGATGTCGATCTCGCCGGAGCGGGGCCAGACGCCGTAAGTGGAGTCTTGGGGCATCATCCCTTGAGTTTGCTATTAGTACGATACGGGAATTGATAGGGGAAAAGTTAGGCTTACAGATGGCGGGCCACAACCAGTCTCCCTTGGGAAGCTTGGCGACAACTTCGACACGACCGTACCGGAGTGTCTTGGTGTCCTTGGTGACTAGGCGAGCGGACCGGACGGGTGGGATCATGGCACCCGTCTTTGGGTCGGAATGAGCGACGCAAGAGGCATTGGTTGTGCCCGTGCAAGACTTGTCTTTCCTCAAATCGAGCGTGTAGTTGGCATAGAGCTGGTCGGCGGTGATGTCTGTTGTCTCAGTCGTGAGAGTCGGGACAATGTGAAGTCCTTCCCCGTCGACGTACGAGTTCTTTGAATCGGTGGTAGTCCAGTCGAAGGACCCTGTTCCGAAGCCATCGAGCTGCGAAGGAAGAAGTTAGGATAGTGACTTTGCAAAGTACAACATATATTGACATACCGTCACCTGGTGCGACCAAACACTCGTATCCAGCGTCTTGAAGTCATCCTCGAACACCAGACATATCGGCCCAGTCTGGTACTGCCTGACGCCCGTATAGCAAAGAACCGCGGCACCCGCAAACCCGGCCAGACACCAGGCGGCCACGATCCAATTGTTCCACCTGGTCTTCTTCATGGCCGGGTCGGCGAGCCATGGCTTCTCGTACTCGCCTCGGAGCCGGTAGCTCTTGAACTTTCTCTTGGCCGCCCTCGGTAGTGTTGCTGCCGACTGCCTCGAGGAAGTATATATCGAGCCTGGCCGACTTGAATCCCACCCGGCGGCGGCACTGTTGACATCTAGTCCTCCTTCGCCGGTGCTGTGTCGCTCCCGGCTGCCGTATGAGGATATTATTTTTGCGGTGAGGTCGTTGGACATCTTGAATGTGGTTTCGACAGCCCTCAGATGAACAAGAGTGTAAAGTAAAGAGTCAAAAGAACACTGTGATGTATATCATAGGATGAAACCTGAAGTCCGAGGGAGAAAAGGATGGGGGACAACGATCAGGTGTTACTTATAACCGTTGAAGGGCGAATTTTCTTCTAGGTATTCCACGAAGAATGCTGTAAAGATGATGATAACGCGGGATGTGTTGACTGTTGTTGCTTCTCTTCTCTATCACAGAACAGGCCTAGCGATAACAATGATAACGGTTGATGGGATATCTCTAGGAACAACATCGCCTTCTCATGGAAAATCAGAAAATTTCACCCGAAGCAAAGGCGTTTGTTTGAAAAGCTGAGTAAGTCCCAGTGCCCCAGTGTTTCGAGTCTCTTTCCGAACAAAATGCACCGCGTTACTGTCTAGGATCGGGTTCGAGCCAAACATTGTCTGTTCCGAAATCTCAGCCAGGCCGCCCACCCTGGAAGAATGATTATCGGCCCAGCCAGCCTGGACAAAATTCGCCCGTGGTTGATGATCAATCCATCGAGTCGGAAAATTCCATAAGCTGCGTGCCGTTCGTGGGTGACAGCGACCCAGTAGGCCGATCATGATGAATGCCGTCTTACCATTGGTTCAAGTGATTGACCGCACGACCGGGGGATGCACTACGTTACGGGATACTAAGTGTATCGCTTACACTGATTACTAGCAAGCAACACCGCAGTTGGCAACTTTGCTCCGTCCATTTTCTGCTGTCTTCCGTACGGTACCTAGGTAACCCACGGTGTGTGAATGGTCTAGACGGAATGGGCATATGTAGACGATGCCAAGATAATTGAGTTGTTCCATCAGTTGCGAACAAACAAAACGTTGGGACGTACTGACCTAACGGGCGCTCCGGCTGTGGGTGGATCTTGTGGCGTCAATGACAAAAGCTGAGCATTAGTGTACTACTAACACGTCAAGGTACATTGTCAAACACGACACACGACAAGGTCGATCCGTACCGATACACTGAACACTCAACTCTCTGCAAGCCACAGCTGGGGATGAAGGTGGGGAATGGCCTTATTTTCTTTTCTCTTCCAATCACGCGCCTGCGAATGAAGTAGTTTGATCGTTTTTCTGTTAATCTTGGGTAGCAGCGATCGATTGAGTTTATGCAGGTACATTGGAAGCTACTTGACCACTCGTCAGTCACCACCTTCCCTTTTTCGATCACTCACCCATTTGACAACAGATCGTGCCTTCTACGTCTACTTGACATTGGCGCTTTTCATTTGTAGAAGAACCCGAGGAACTGACAAATGGAAGGCGGTCGGTCAAGGATACCTTCCTTTACCACTTCCATCGTAACAATGAACGGTTGGCTCTTTCCACTCTCCAGTGACCATTCTTTTCACAACGACCAACAGTAAAAAACTGACACTATCGTTTTGTGAAGTGGCCCATTCACATCTCATTCACACAGTACACCAGCAAATATTGAGTTGTCCCCTCAGTTCATTCACATTGCCGTGGCTTGACATCGACATCCGGATCTTCAACTGGGATTGGATCCCATACGAGCCTCTTTTCTCTATCCGCCTAGCAGGGCCACAATGGCAATGCCGCCATGGCTAATATTTTCCAGTAATAAGATCACGGTGCGAAACCAAAATGCCACAGCCTTTAGGAAAGTACGTCTTTGCCTTCTCTGTGTAAATTTGGACTCTATGGTCTCTCAAGATTCAAGAAACCCATTAGCCGCATTCAACATTGTGTGGGAGTAGGAAACAAACCTTGAAGGAATTATGTTTCTATCTCTATCTCTCTGAAGCTCTCTCTGGCCTCCATTTCATTTTCCATAATCCCGGACCCGAACTGGACTCTGGGGAAGCGGAAAATATCGGAGACCTGCATGAGTGAAACGTACAACTGGAAGTTTTCGACCCAGAATAGCAGTGGGTGAGGGCTGAAGGGCTAAGCAGCTATCTACTTAGCTCACCACGCGAGAAAGAACACTTCCGTTTTCATTGGGAGTCCTCTCTCTAGCCCTCTTCTTTGGAGTATCACCCATCACCCATGACAGATGAACATGAACAAGGACATATGACATGATAGATGGCAGTTGAGGCTGGCTGACGGACACATCGTCTTCTTGACAACTCATGGGAAACCGCACCATCTCCATCCTCCTTTCCACGATCATGCTTGTCCAAGGCGGTAAGGGAGAATAGTGTCCGGTGTCCAGAACACAGAATCAACGCTAAGCCTCACGACATCTGACAGCTCAAGCCCACCACGTTTATGGCCGCCTACCCCGACATCTACAGTCATCTACTGTGTGGACTGTAAACTACCTTGAGCTGCAAAGGGCTGCAAAAATCCGCTTTCGGGCATCTTCTCCCAGGCTCAGACTGTCTTTAGCTCGCTACTAGCTCGTATAGTGGGCGCCTCCTTCACGGACAGCTATCTCCTTTCAGCTGTGCACATCATGTTGTTGCTCATATTTTGTGGAACTATACAGTTTAGTTGTGATGCTTCTGCTTTTCCAATGCATGCATCGTGAGGGGGTTGTATGTGGCTGGTCATTTCCACAAAGCCGGCCCAGCCCAATGAGCGCCAACAAGCACGGAGCCCTTTTCCGGACTAGACGACGGTCACCTTCTCAACCTTGGTCAGTTATTCTCGTTTCTTTCTTTCCTTTCTTTCCTTACCCTTGGAAAACACTGCCGAACCGATCAGTCGATGGATGGCAGTAAGCCACTTGAGGCTCCGAATTGGTCGGGTCGGTCGAGACCTCCGTATTCGCACCACCGGGCGGGCTCACTTACACCACTCGGTCACTCAGTCTCACTCAACCGCGTCTGATGGCGTTTGGATGGCTTGCGGGAAACTCGTTCCAAATCCAGTCATCGTGATCGATCTTTGTGGACATCAAGTTCCCTCTTCGTCTCTATAGTCTTCTCAAACTATAAGACCTTCCATCCTTCCCAACCTTCCCTCTCGAAAGTTAAAAAGCAATCCACTCAAGCCTTCAAGCAGCCTCATCACAAACCATCAAGGCATCTATCCTTCTTGAGCACACATCTTTCCTCCTTCTCCGACAACTCACTTGGCTGTTTTTCAAAATGGTTCGCAAGAACATCATCATTTCTTCCCTCTTCCTGGGCCTCGTCTCAGCCTCGCCGCTCCACCTGAAGCGCCAGGACCTGCCCATCGACAGCTATGACGAGTCCGTGGCTGCCGGTGCTGACTCCACCGACACCCCCCCTGTTGGCGACGCCGTTCCCCAGAACGTCGAGACCTTCGACTCCAACACCGTGGCCGCGGAAGTTGTGGCCACCGTTGTCGACACTCCCCCTTCTGTGGCTCAGGCTTCCAACGACACTCCTCCCGATGTCATCACTGTCAACCTCTTGAAGCGCAGCGACATCAACGTCGCTCGCGCCGACGGCCCGGCCACCTCGTGTATTGTCCGCACCTTCAACGGTCCGCAAGTGTCTCCCGACACTCCTGGGGACTTCACAAGCTATGCGGCTTTTTCCACTGCTGCCAATGACGCTGTCAAGGCGGCCAACGTCCCTTCCGGCTACGCGGCCGTGCCTAACTTTGTCAACCTCAATGCGGTGGCCCAGGACAAGTCCTACATTACTTACACCAGCTCCAAGCTGACCTCGTACGACCCCAAGAAGTGCGCCGCCATCTGCGACGCCACTGCCGGCTGCACCTCGTTCAACATCTACTACGAGCGAGTGCCGCTTGAGATCAGCAAGGCCACCCAGGTGCCCGATTCCGCGCTGGGCTGCCCTGGCAATGCCGACGCCGCCTCGGCCACTCTGATCAAGTGCGCCTTCTACGGCATGCCGCTCGTCGCCACCTCGGCCAAGTCGGTCTACCAGTACCAGGGCAAGGCCTTCAAGGTAGTCTACGCCGGCTCCACGGCCTTCACCAAGTCCAGCGGCCCCACGGTCGACGGCTTGCAGGGCCCCGTCACCTTTGGCGACGCCGCCATCAACGCGCCCGCGCCCGTCATCGACCACGGCTACCTCCGCACGCAGACCTTTGGCACCAACGTCCCCTTTGCCCCAGAACTCTGCGCCGCCAGCTGCAAGGCCCAGACCGAGTACAACGCGAAGCACGGCACCAACAAGGGCCAGGCCTGCATCTTCTTCAACGCCTTTGTCATTTACAAGAACGGCAAGGACGGCGTCTTCACTTGCAACTACTATGGTACCCCCTATGGTGTCAGCTACGCCAAGAACAGGGGCCAGTGGGATGACTCTGGCAACCATTGGACTATCTCCAACAGCTTTGGCTACTACGTTCCTGGCAACTATGTTGCCAAGTAAGGAAAGGGGGTGGGAGCGCGGTCATCCAAGGCCACGACTACAACCACTTGCTTTTCATGCTTTGAAGGGATGAGGGGATCAAGAAAACGGTTGAGAAAAAAATTGAATGGCTAATACTTGCTTGGATTCTTTAGCTCTTCCCGTCTTTTATAGCCATTGATGCTTGGCTGTGCGAACAGTTGGCAGTTTCGTGGTTTGGTTTTTTGTGCTTTAGTGCTTTAATAGTTAGTTCTAATACATAACAGTTGTGTGGGTACATAAACTGTAGTGTCGTCAAGGTTAAATTTGCTTGTAATGCCATTGTCGTTGTCATTGATCGCCGCGCTTGAATGCCTATTTGGGAGTTGTGAGTAGACTGATGACGGTGTTTCAAGGCGAATGGTTTTGACTTGGAGGTGTTGTTCCTGAGTGTCAACAGATAGCATGACACCAAGGTGCCATTTCCCTGAAGCCATCTGATTTGGAACATGAACGACCAGATCTTTACCGAGAATGTTTACATCATTGCTCCCTATAGTCTTCGGTTTCGTGTAGTCTGCCATGATGTCTTTTGCTGTGGGCAAGAGGCAAAAGGTGAAGTTATGTTGATGTCTGCTCGGAAGGATCCGTGATCGTCATTGCCATTACCCAAGACGTGAGCATCTACCGATCTTTGGGCGCATGCCATTTCCCCAGTAGATCGATCAACGTGACGGATTGTTCCGACATGGAATAGTATTGCCAAAATGGGCTTCTTCTGCGACTTCCTCGTGGCAAAGCAATCTGCATAACGTGCAAGTCAGGAATGAGGAAATACAACCAATTATAATCATTATCGTTCATTTTCCACCATTGTAAAACCACGATAACGCTCAATCTCCCCATTGACACTTTCGAAATCATTATCACAGCGGTTGGGATAATGGATTGGTAATCCACTCATGGCCACTTGGTTACTTTTGAGCACTATCAGAGGCAATTGAGAATCGTAGTCATCCGTCTCAAAACACTCGGAAATGAGCAATGATACAGAAAAGGAAAGAGAGCAATGGCTCGTTGACGGATTGGAAAGAGGGCAGCGGCAGAGTCGCGAATGGCCGTGATGATGCAGCAAGTGGGTGTGGACAGAGGGGAAAACTAATGCAGGAACGAACACTTTCCCAATCTCTTCCTCTGCTCACTGGACGAGCAGCGCCTTTGCTCTCTCGTACTACTGACGCCTCACGCCGCACACCCGCAGACTTCACGATGACTTGCGCAATGCGAGGGTAAAGAAAATAGTAGTTTTGACCAGACTGGCTCAACTAAGAGTCGTTAAGCGAATGCGTACGCAAAAGGTCAAACCTCCGAAGTCTTTGTGACCGCTTTTTGCTTTTGTCAGTTTTCTATAACGGGTTTTCGCAGTGTCGGCCGTCGGCGGTCGGGGACACGGGCTGGGCATTGGAAGGAAAAGAAGCCAAAAGAGAATCCGATGGTTAAAACGCTGCAAGGGGAAATGATGCAGAGACGCCGCGCCACGACCCGACAAACAGACAGACGGCGGGTCCAGTGATGTTTGTGTGACTGGTACGTTGAGGCTGAGAGGAACGAGAATAGGCGGCACAACACTGCCCGACTTTGGTTTGTGTTTTGTTGCGTTCGTTAGATTGCTTGCCGTTAGGTTGGGTGGTGTGGGGTGACGGGAGTGGTGACTTTGTTGTGGAAAGCGAGAAGTCGCGATACAAGACAAGGATCAAGGAAAGCAGGGGGGGAAGACAACTGGGGTGTTGCGACGAAGCACAAAGTACCGGTACTTTTCACAAGTACCGATGCTTAGTGTAGTGTACTCACCCCTGCTATCTTCTGGGGTTTTGACAGGGCAGGCAGCCCCGAACCAGGCTAGCCTAAATCGGGGTGCATTGAGGGTCTTGCCTCCACATTCAACCTCGCTGGTCTTGGCAGTCACGTCTCGCTTTCTGCTTTGGGAGGAAGTGAGAGCTACTCCTCCCTTGTTGAGACGGATTCCTTCCATCTTCGCTTAGATCTTCGACAGGCAGTTACTATGGTACCAGACCAGACTGCCAGACGACCAGTCAACATCCGTGTGTTCAGTGAGACTTGTCACGTCAACAGGTCAACCTCGGTACACCATCATCAACAGAAACACGCGCTCGGCTTTTTCGCACACTCACGCGGAACAACCCCCCTCCACCCGGTCCCATTATGGTTTGTTTGGGGATTTTCAACCGAGATGCGAGGTATCTCGATGCCTGGTCTCTGCAGTGGTCATCTTCAGTCATCACATCCCGCTGGGTTGAGCCCATGAAAAGATCAGGATCCAAAAGTTGGCAGAATACCCTTCAGCTGAGCCCCAGCCCGAGGGAGGTCTAGCAAGATGCCATAACAGGAACCCGATTTGCCTTCCCGTCGATAGTTTGGGGGACGAGCAAACGCCGAGTTGGCCACAGTCATGAGTGTTTGCTGGTTGACACCGACTGACCTGTTGATGTGGCTGTCACCCCGGGAAACCCTTCAAGCACACCGCAGGCACACCTCGACTTGTGGTAATGACGGTTCAAGCTGCGCTCCCAAGACAGTCCAAGACTTCAAGCCACGTCCCGCCATCCCCTTCCTTTGGCTGGCTGAGAGACAAAAGACCTACTTAGACTGCCAAAGACAGCCTGAAGAGTTGTATTGGCCAGCTGCCAAGGCCGAAAAGACTGTCAGGCTGACCTTCAATGGGCCGATCAATGCCCTAGACCGGCGTCGAGACCCTTTCGAGACCCGTTGGAATGGAATCGGCGCAAGCCCCATTCGGTAGTGCCCGTCTGGTCTTAGATCATGTTGGATCACAGAGATCTCTGGGTAACTTCTCCATCCAACACAGAGACACAGCTATATGCGATTGTCTCCCATCCCTTTTGACCCGAGATCTCACTCATCCATCCACTTCTTTGTCGGCAGCCCAATTCGCACCGTCATCTTGACGACCTCGGGGTCTTGTCTCGCAAGAGCCGATTCCGGTTGATCTAGTACCCTGGACACCTCGACATCACTTCGTCATTCCCCCCAATGTGGTAGCCACTCGTTATTGTTTCATATACACTTTTCATCGGGGTAACCTTGTGGATATACCCTTCACCTACAGTCTTTACTCCTATCCTCATGGCTTATTCGACACACTCACTGTAATATCCTTTCGCCAAAATGAGGCCCCTAGGTCTCTTACGCTCTTTTGCGAGCCTTGCGCTCTGCACGGCAACATGGGCGATGGACCCGACAGATACCATTATGGATGCCGGTGAGTCAAACTCTATGTGCCTTGAATGTCTTATGAATCGGGATTGCTAACAGATCAACTTTGGCAAGACTCGGCTGCTGTCGGCTACCTCCCAACCCACAACATGGATCCAGCAACCATTGAGGGAGGCGCATTTGGCCAGATTTGGTCCTTCACGACACCAAAGAATCCTCTCAACCAGATCGAGCAGTTCTACTCTAAACTTCTAGTCTACACACCAAAGGCCACGGGAAAGCAAACCGTCATTGCCTTTTCAGAGCAAAACCGCATCTACCTTCTCGATGCGGTGAACGGCACACTCTACAATAGCCGTGATCTGAGCGAGCAGGATCCCGCAGAAGCCCCGTTCATGGTGTCCGACTTGGGCAACTGCAACGACATTAGCGGAACAATCGGTATCACTGGTACGCCCATCATTGACCCCAACACAGAAACCATCTACTTCTGGGCCAAGGGCTACAGGGACGCAACCACGAAAGGCTGGAAGAACGGTGCATACCGTTTCCATGCCATTGATGCATGGACCTTGCAAGAGAGACCCGGCTTTCCAACCAACATTGAAGGCAAGTATGCCGATAACGACAAAACCCGCTACTTCAACGGTGGCAGTGTCCTTCAGCGCACATCCTTGAACCTTATCAATGGCGTGGTTTACGCTGGCTTTGGTGGCCACTGCGATCTGTTCAACTACACCGGCTGGGTAGTTGGCATGAGAGCTTCCAGTGGTGAGTTCGTCACAGCTTATGCCGCTGCTGGTGGTGATCGTGCCCCCAAGCAAGATGGCACCTGGGAAGGAGGCGGTGGTGGCTGCGGAATCTGGCAGAGCGGTGCCATTCTGGCCTCGGACAACCCGAGTCGCCTCTTCTTCGCTACTGGAAACGGCTACGGAGTCATGGCGAACCAACAGCTAGCCGCCGGCGGTAGAACCCACCTCGACACACTCTCCGAAGCCATCGTCAATATGGCCATCGATCCCGTCACTGGAAAGGTCACGCAACAAGACTATTTCGAGCCATATACTTACCAAGCGATCGACTCTGCTGATCGTGATTTGGGTGGTGGCGGCGTTTCCATCTTGCCATTTGGCGGCGGTGGTGTCAAGCAGCTTGCGGTAACAGCAGGCAAGAACGGCCAGGCCTACATCTGCAACGCTGATAACCTAGGAGGCTACAAGATGGGCACCGGCGGTGGTGACAACATCATCCAGACTATCACTCCTCCTCAGGGTACAGCCATGTTTGGAAACGTTGGCGCATATCCGCTTGAGGGTGGCTACATGTACATCACTCCAGTCGGTGCCCCGACTTATGCCTACGCTCTTGGTTACGACTCAAGCGGAAGGCCGGCCTTCAGTGTAGCCGGTTCGACCCCTGACAAGTCGGCTGGAAGAGTTGGTACTGGATCCGCAACCATCACCACCCTCAACGGCCAACCGGGAACAGGCATTCTTTGGATGAGTGATCCTGACAACGGAATTCGCGCCTACCATGCGGTGCCACGGAATGGGCAGCTCGTAAAGATTCCCCTTCCCGCTACTCCAGTCTTGTCCAAATTCCAACGTCCAGTTTTTGGTGATGGCCGGTACTACACCAGCACATACACCGGACAGATTCTGGCTTTCGGGTCCCCTGTCAAGTTGCCTTTTGACTGCGGTGGTCCTTTCAACCTCGGAGAGGTCCCCATCGGAACATCCAAGACGATCAACGTCACTTGCACTGCCAAGATCACTGTCAACCAGATC